GGGAATATACCCAGTGGAACTCAAATCACTCTATGAAAAAGATACCAACCTGGCTCGGTGGCTCAGCCTATAATCCTAGCCCTTTGGGAGGCTGAGGCAAGTGGATTGCTTGAGCCCATAGGTTCGAGACCAGCCTGGGCAACTTGGCAAGACCTCGTCTCTACAATAAAAATATAAAATTAGCCAGGCGAGGTAGCACATGCCTATAGTTCCAGCTACTTGGAAGGCTGAAGTGGAAGGATCGCCAGAGCCCAGCAGGTCAACGCCAGGATGGCTGTGAGCATGCCACTGCACTCCAGCCTGGGTGACACTGTGAGACTCCAACTCAAAAAAAAGAAAAGATACCTGCACATGCATGTTTATTACAGCACTATTCACAATTGCAAAAACATGGAACCAACCATGCTGCCCACTGAAAGAGGAGTGGATAAATATGGTATACATACACAATGGAATATTACTTAGCCATAAAGAAGGACAGAAGTTTTTTTTAAAAGTTTAAAAATGCATCTTAACATCTCTGAAATCAGGACATGCTACTGTCAAGGATATGTTAAAACCCCTAGCATCCAGGTAGGGTAGCAATGTAGTTGTTAATGTCTTTGGGTATATAAATTTCTCATAGCTATTCATATTCATCAATTTAAGTATGTGTATTCATTGTGCTTTATACATATTGAGTTTAATTGTTGTCTAAAATATATTCAGATATGTTAGAGGATACCTAATATATATAGTCTATTGAAATGAAGAATTACTGTGTATATAGAAAGGCCTGGCAAAAGACTAACTGAACAGTTAGTTTATATCAGCGAAGCAAATACTATTGGAGGAAGAATTACAATTTCATATTTTCTTGCAAAGCAACAATCAAGTATTCTACATGGACCAAGAAAGGAGAATACCCTGAAGTGAGTGAAACTCTTACTTTTTGTTACTAGCATTTACACAAAAGATCATGCACAAGAAATAGAACTGAAGGAAAGAAAAATTGCCAGATTCCTCCGAATAGATAAAATACATTTCAAAGCAGAGAATATGGTAGGATTGATTCAGAAATTGTGCGTGTTATGGAACTTATTTCAACAAACTTCCTAATGACCTTGAAGAAGCTGCTGTTTTCAGCAAGATATGACTTAATTGAGAACAAAGGAAAATATGAGTGCTGTCAAAAAGAGAAGCATCAAGCTAGGCTCGGTGGCTCAGCCTGTAATACCGCGCCTTTGGGAGTGGATTGCCTGAGCCCACGAGTTCGAGACCCGCCTGGGCAGCGAGATCTCATCTCTTCAATAAATCAAAAAATCAGCCGGGCGTGGTAGCGCATGCCTGTAATTTCGGCTTCTCGGAAGGCTGAGGCGGAAGGATCACCAGAGCCCATCGGGTTGAGGCTGCAGTGGCCGGGAGCGGCCACTGCACTCCAGTCTGGGCGACACAGTGAGACTTCAACTCAAAAAAAAAAAAGAGAGAGAGAAGCATCAGTGTCTAAACCCACAGAACTGGTATTATCAACTTGGAAGAAAATCTTGAAGACAAAATAGAGCATTCTTTCAGAAGTGCTTTTTCACCATTACTTTTTTTTTTTAAGGTTCTAGATTAAACTGTCTAGTTTTTCAAGGACATGAAAAACAGGTCAATATCATCTTCTCTGAAATTATTTTGTAAAACTATACCATAAAGCATCTGTTTGCTGCTTCCAAAAAAAAAGGACAGAATTATGAACTTTGCTGCAACCTGGATGGATTTAAGAGTCTATAATACTGAATGATCTGTAAACAATGAACCGAGTATCACATGTTCTCACTCATAAGCTGACCTTGAAAAATTATAATACTATAAGAAAGGGATTGGCAGTAATGATAAACTGCCGGGGAGGGGGCGACACCTCATCAACAATGGTACCTGCATAATGTTCATTTGGATACCTAACCCTGAATTGTACCCCACATCTTTAAAATAAATTTAAAAAATTTAATGGGCAAAAGAAATGAATAGACACTTCTCAGAAGAAGACATACAAGAAGCCAACAGATACATGAAAAAATGCTCAGCCTCACTAATCATCAAAGAAATGCAAGTTAAAACCACACTAAGATACCACCTAAATTCAGTCAGGATGGCCATCACCAATAACCCAAAAAACAACAGATGCTGGAGAAGATATGGGGAAAAGGGAACACTTCTACACTGTTGGTGGGAATTTACATTCCCAACTAGTACAACCTTTGTGGAAAACAGTGTGGCGATTTCTAAAAAATCTGAAAATCAAACTTCCATACAACCCAGCAATCCCCCTTCTGGGAATATACCCGGAGGAACTCAAATCATTATATTATAAAGATACCTGCACACGCATGTTTATTGCAGCATTATTCACAACAGCAAAAACATGGAACCTACCATGCTGCCCATCGAAAGTGAACTGGATTTTTTAAATGTGGTACATTTATACAATGGAATATTATGCAACAATAAAGAAAAACAAAATTATGAACTTTGCAGCAACCTGGATGGAATTAGGGTCTATAATACTCAGTGATATATCACAGAAACAAAGATCTGAGTACCACACCTACTCACTCATAAGTGGACCCTGAACATTTATTATAATACTATAAGAAAGGAATTGGCAGTAGTAGGACACTGCTGGGGGGGTCACATAACAGCAATAAGGATACCTATACTTTACCTGTATGATGACCACGTATGTACCTAACCCTCATTTGTACCCACATTTTAAATATAAAATAAATTTTTAAAAAATAAAATAAAATAAAATGCTTTCTTCTGAAATCATTCACTTAGTAAAAACCAAGAAATAAGAGGCTGACTGAACTGAAAGAAACTTTCAGAAGGTTGACTAAGCCTATCCATGGAGATCCTGAAAAAACTTCCACCATAGAGATCACCTTAAAGAAAGAGACAGATAAAGTAAGACATCATACACACCAAAATCCTTACTTAAATATTCTTCCTAAGAATTCTCCCAGCGTCCACTAACAGCTAGCTAAATTCTACAAAGTAGATTCTACTCAGAAAGAGTTAAGTAGCATTAATAAATCTTCTTCTCTAGAGATTCTAATAAACTAAATAGTGCCCAAGAGGATTCAAGTATTTTCCTAGTAAAGGCAGATGTCTGGAAAATCTGCTCAGTACATGGGTACAGTTCTGTACTTCAGAGACACAACAAAAAGATGACAAGTTCCCTGTAGATCGTAAGGCTATGTTCAACCTTATCAAAGAATCAGAAGACACGTGAAAATGACTGCAGTACAATGCACTAAGAAGTGGAAATCAAAAGACAAACCAAGCAGTTTCTAGCTGCAGATATTGATATAAGTACTCAGAACCAAAGAGATGGATGTCATAAAAGAACACTTTCTGAAGAAGGTTTTGATAGAGTTTTGAGGGTAATCAAAAAATATGGCAAGTGAACTGGAGACAAAAAACATCCCAAAAGAGGCTATCAGGACTATCAAACACATACAGGAGCAGGAGCTGAAATAAGCACCAAAAGTTACCTTATTCAGAACAGGTAATTTACAAGGACTAGAAGAAACAAACTGGACAGGAAAGGAGGTGGCAGAATGACAGAAGGTGAAGACTCTTAGAGGTGATCCTGATGAGTCTAGCTTTCCTGCGGTTTACACTATGGCATGATTTGTGTTCTGGCGGAACGGTGAGGTGAAAATAGTGGTAGAGGGTTATTCTAATAGCTCTGAACATGGATAAGAACAGATGGAGAGTGCACCTCAGAAGGCTCGGACAGCCTGATCAAGTAAATATTACAGAACAAGAGGGAGCAAGATAGGCCAAGAGACAGAATGTCAAAGATGGACAGGACTTAAGACCAAGGAAAGAAAGGAGAATCAATACACAGGAAATTAGAGACAGGATAATAAAGTGGAACTAGAATCTTACTGGGGAAAGTGGAAATTTAAGGAATAAGAATTTAGTTTTTTTAGTACTGTTAATTTCAGAAGGCTGAATAAGCTTTTTTCTCTAACGTTGACATTTTCCCCCATGTAGCTTTTCAAAACAATAACACAAAAGGCAGAATGAATAAATGATAAGTAAAAACAGGTCTTTTATAAACGGCCATAGATTTCACTACAATTTGAATGTGTCCCCCAAGTTCATGTTTTAGAAACTTATCCCCGATGCAGTATTGACAGGTGGGACCTTTGAGAGTGATTAGGTCATAAGGGCTCCGCCCTCGTGAATGGATTAATGCTTCTTATTGTCCATTATCTCGGTCCCTGATAGAAGAATGAGTTCAGCCGGTTGTCTCCCTCTCTCTCTCCCCTTTCCCCCCCACCCCACCTCCCTGCAAAACTGAAAGAAATAAATCTCTGTTCTTTATAAGTTATAGGCTCAAGGAATGTGTTACAATAGCACAAATAAATTAAGACAGGTCTCAAAATATTTTACAAACCTGGTGTAGTGGCTCGTGCCTGTAATTCCAACACTTTGGGAGGCAAAGGCAAGAGGATTGCCTGAGCCAAAGGATCTGAGACCAATCTGGGCCACTTGGCGAGATCTCACTTCTACAACAAATCAAAACTGGCCAGGCATGGTGACTTGTGCCTGTGGTTCCAACTACTTGGAAGGCTGAGGCAGAAGGACTGCCTGAACCCAGCAAGTCGAGGCTGTGGTGACTGTAAGCATGCCCCTGCACTCCAGCCTGGGCAGCAGTGAGATTCTGACTCAAAAATAAAAATACACACACACACACACACACACACACACACGTATATTATATACTGTGTTATGGATACGTGCTTAAAATTTAAGAATTCCGACTATATTAACTTTATGTTGTAAACTATTTGTAAATCATCATTATGACAATTACAGTTATATTAAGTATGCTCCTGGAAATTGAAAGAAGTTGAAAGAAGTTCTTTCTGTAGAAATGCAAAACACCAAAAACTATTTCCATAACCAAATTATAAGATGTCCCATAAAATTAAAACCCATTTTAATGATGTAGAAAAGCATACCTTTAATGTTCCATCAGCTGAACAGCTAGCCAAAAGATTATCATCCGGTGAAAATCTGCAGTGATTGACTGAACTTGTATGGCCAAACATAGTATTTCGACATCTTTTTTGGTTCAAATCCCAGAGCTATTTGTGAAAAACAAAAAGATAAACAAAAAGCTAGTACTGAATGGGAAAAAGTCAGAAATCATGTAAATGTATTCCTTTCCTCCCATGTAAGCATTTTGGTTTACAGAACGATGTTCAATTCACAGTGACATAAAGGTGAATTTGTGATGAACAAGTGACAGGGCAACCCTTAGGTCAGCATCCAAACCTGCTAAGGACTCCAAAGTGCACCTAGGTTTTTATTCTGAGCACTAAATCACTAACTAAACAATTACTGCTTATTGTAACTGAGTGGCGTGGAAACATTATTATTTTACTTGGTTACAATAAGTAATATGTAGTACAAATTGCCCCCACACTTTTAAAAATGCTAGGCTATCCAGGGCAAACCCTGAATTTTCTAACCAGGCTAAAAGCTATTAACACTCTAAAAAAGTATTCAAAAAATTCAAAGACAGACTTTAAGTATAAATATACTTGATATGAATTATAAGAGGTTAGAAGAGCAAGTCAAACAACACTTCCGGGAGACAACCAACCAACCCAGAATGTGGCACATTCCAGGGGACAAATGACTCAATTTCTCTAACAAACCAAAGGCAGAAGAAAGGGCGCAGCAGAGAAATGGAAATTCATAGAGTCAGAGAGACCTAGGAGACTTCATGACCAAGTGACACAGGAAGTTTGTTTGGTTTCTGATTCCAACATGATGGGGAATAGACACGGGGCTTTTTGTAGTTATTCGTTTGTTTTTTTGAGTCAGGGTCTCACTCCGCTGGAGTGCAGTGGCATGATCACAGACCACCGCAGCCTTCAACTCCTGGGCTCAAGTGATCCTTCCACTTCAGCCTTCCAAGTAGCCGGGACTACAGGCTCATGCCACCACACTCAGCTAATTACTTTTTTTTGGGAGAGACAAGATCTCACTATGTTGCCCAGACCGGTCTCAAACTCCTGGGTTCAAGCTATCCTCCTGTCTCTGCCTCACAAAGTGCTGGGATTACAGGTGTGAGCTACCACACCTAGTCAGAAAGACCTTTTTTGAGACTACTCAGGTGAACATGGACCAGGTACATTATAAAACTGTAGTTTATTATGTTAGGTATGATAATAGCATGTTACGTATGTTTAAGACTTCTGAGACGCATGCTGAAGCACCCTGGGTGCAATAACTTAATATATGGGATTTGCTGTAAAATGCTCTAGTCGAACAAAAAGGGAGGGTTATAAAATAAGACTGGCAAAATATTAACTGCAGTAGGAGCTAAATGATGGATACCACAGGGGTTCATATTGTGCTCTCTCCCTTTAAGTATGGTTGAAAAGTATACAATATGTAAATAAAAGGGGCTAGGCATGGTGGCTCAAGCCCACAATTCCAGCACTTTGGGTGGCCAAGGCAGGAAGATTGCTTGAGCTCAGGAGTTCAAGATCAGCCTGAGCAACATAGCGAGATCCTGTCTCTACAAAAAATCGATAAGTTAGCTGGGCATGGTAGCTCATGCCCATAGTCCCAGCTACTAGGGAGGCTGAGATGGAAGAATCACCTGAGCCCAGGAGGTTGAGGTTGTGGTGAGCTGTGATAGTGCCACTGCACTAGTGCGGACAAAAGAGTGAGACCCCAAACTCAAAATTTACACACACACACACACATACACACACACACACACACACACACACACACACACACTACTATGGTCATTCTGTTGATTTATGCTAGCTACATTAAACCCAGAGGGAAAAAAGTTAATTATCCTCAAATGTTAATTTTGGTAAAAAATTTTTTGGAAACGGCCAGTAAATGAGATAACACCTGGTCCTCAAGTCCATCTCCATCCTGGGCTCCTTTTTCCCGGTCCTGGAAAAACTCCATTCTTCAGATAAGGCAAGTTACACCAGAGGCAGCTTCAGAATTACGCACTTCCACCGGCTTCTCTCAGTTCAAGAATCTCAAGAAATACATTCTAACAGTCCCCATGGTAACACAAGTGGTGTAGCAGGTCTTAAAGTAAATCTTGTACTTAATGAAAATGGTTTACTAACCAATAATCCCTTCCCCACATGGTAGAGGTGTTTTTCTATATGCAAGAGGAGGAAATACAGACTTCCTCAACTTATAAAATGTTAAAAAGGAACTTCAAAAATTAGTCATCAACAGTGCAATAGTCTTTTTTTTAAACAGGTAGATTTATTCAAACAGGGCAAAGTTTTCCTAAGCAAGCTATAACTGTGGAATCACTTTATGTCACTCAATTAGTCTGCCCTTTGGGCTCAACTCCATGCTTCCAGACTGTGTTCTGCAGGGCTTGAGGGAGTCCATAAACACGCCGGAATATGGAATGGGAGGATGGTTAAGAAAGGGGGAGGGAGAAAGGGGGAGGGAGGGAGGGAGGCAGGAAAAGGAGTCATGCAGGCTTCACCTCAACCAGTGCGTTCACTGCCTCATGCCTTGAGCTTCTGTGTGACTTTTCGTTGGGAGAAAAATCAACGAATAAAGGGTGAGTCTCCTGAATGGGGGGGGTACTTTTCAATAATTGTTTCAGTACATCCTAAAAATTTTTTTAAATGACTTATCTAAGAGTCAACACAGAGTCTCTGAGGTTTCTTCAAACCAAAATGGCTTTTATCCACTCCCTCTTAAACATATAACATCCCATTGCAAAGATGGTATGACTTCAAGGAAGAAAGATGAGAAATCAAACCAAAAAACAATCCACAAGAAGGCAACAAATCTTTCTGGAATCCCAGAAAATGTAATCTGGTTATCTTCATTCACATAAGAGGAAAAATGATACAACCTTTTATAATACAATGCACAAGAAAAATCAAAGGAAATGCTCTGATGCATTCATCAAACGTATCTACATAACTTTCAATATCTGCACTTACTTTGAGAAAGAAGTCACTTGACCCAGTGGCTAAGAGAAGATGATGGCTGCTGTTGGTGAAATGGCAGCAGGTGACTTGCTCTGAGTGTTCCTCATAGGTATGCACGAGTTCCCCAGTCACAGAATTCCAAATCTAAAGAGAACAGAGAAAATAATATTTACAAATATTCCCTTCATGATTTTCGAAGGGAAAACAAAGAGGCAGAGAAAATGTGAGCTGTTCTACAAATACTATCTACCCTGCCATGGCAGATTTTCCCATCGGATGTGATGTTCGTGAATAGCTCCCAATTCTCTAAAAATACGGCAGTACTTTTCCTCAATGTTTAAAAACAAATGACTTGGCCGGGCGCAGTGGTTCACGCCTGTCATCCCAGCTCTTTGGGAGGCAGAAGTGAGAGGACTGCCTGAGCCTGTGGGTTCAAGACCAGCCTGGGCAACATGGCGAGCCGTCGTCTCTACAATAAATCAAAAAATTAGCTGGGTGTGGTGGCACACGCCTGTAGTTCCAGCTACTTGGAAGGCTGAGGTGGAAAGATAGCCCGAGCCCAGGAGGTCAAGGCTGTGGTGGCTGTGAGCGTGCCCCTTCACTCCAGCCTGGGAGGCAGAATGAGATTCCGAGTCTAAAATAAAATTTAAAATTTAAAAATTAAATTAAATTTTAAAATAAAATTAAAATAAAAACAAATTACTTGAAAGTCTACACATATCTTTCTGGAGCATAATTGGAATCTCATGAAAACATGACATTCCTCAAAGGCAAGATTCCCATGTTCACATGAATGACAGCAGGCAGAAAAGTGCTACAAAGGGGTAAACACAGTGGACTCCAGATCAGAAGGTTAGGGTCAAGATCTGGCTCTATCACTTAGGGACTTGACAAGTCCTTAACTTACCTTCATCTCTGTTCCCTCTTCTGAAAAGTGGGGATACTTATACCTGTCCTACACATTCAAGGTATCAAGTGAGGTAATGAAAATGACAAATGTCTGTAGACTTCAAGATACCATATAAATAAGTAAAGGCCGATTGATTAGTGGGAAAAAAACACACACTTTAGAATCTGAGAGAAACCTAATTTTCAACTGTGTTACAGAAGCTCACAGGAGATTGGGCAAGTAACTTCATCTCTGAACCTGTGTCCACTTTTAAAAATGGGATCAACATTTACTCTGCAAGTTGTAGTGAGAAACTGACAATATAATACAAAGAAGTGTGTAGAATAAAGTCTCTATAATGTTCTTGTTAAAAAATAATCATCAGCCGGGCTCGGTGGCTCAGCCTGTAATCCTACGTCTTTGGGAGGCTGAGGTGAGTGGATTGCCTGAGCCCGCGGGTTCGAGACCCGCCTGGGCAACTTGGCGAGACCTCATCTCTACAATCAATCAAAAATGAGCCGGGCGTGGTAGCACACACCTGCAGTTCCAGCTACTTGGAAGGCTGAGGTGGAAGGATCGCTGGAGCCCAGCAGGTCGAGGCTGCAGTGGCCGGGAGTGGCTACCACACTCCAGTCTGGGCGACAGAGTGAGACTCCAACTCAAAAAAAGCTTAAAGTGAGGTTCCCCTCCATATATCAGTGATAAAACATCCCCCAAGTCTTCAATTTCTCTTAAATTCCTAATTAGTATAAGTGTTCCAGCTAAAAGCCAAATTGAGGAACAAGAGACAAGAAAAAATAATTATACTATGTTTATCTTTTTCTGTTTATTTATTAGACCAGTAACCTAATTATTCATTTGTTCATTTATCTGGTTTTGCACTAAATATAAAGTCCATTCATAAAAGTAAAATACGGGTTGCATTTCACAAATTATGTATCTTACAACAGGAATTCGCAATTTTGTATAGCAGCACTTCTGATCACATGCACCCAGATTTTAACTGATATTTAACCCATGAACCTGTCTATTAGTGGCAAATTCATTAGTTTATCATTGTTTTTCCCTGCTGCCCGGTAAATACATGAGGTAGACCAACCTGGGCATTTTGCTAATGCTTAAAAATAAAAAATTCTCAGAAAGTGTTAATTTAAATAGGATCAAGTCAGTGTATCAACACACAAGTGTCCTTTTTTTTTTTTGAGTTGCAGTCTCACTCTGTCGCCCAGACTGAAGTGCAGTGGCCGCTCCCGGCCACCGCAGCCTCGACCTGCTGGGCTCCGGCGATCCTTCCTCCTCAGCTTTCCAAGTAGCCAGAATTACAGGCGCGCACTACCACGCCCGGCTAATTTTTTGACTTATTGTAGAGATAAGGTCTCGCCTGCCCAGGCGGGTCTTGAACCCGCGGGCTCAGGCAATCCACTCACCTCAGCCTCCCAAAGGCGCGGGATTACAGGTTGAGCCACCGAGCCCGGCTCACAAGTGTCTTTTAACCCTATTTACTCGGGTTTCTCAATTATAAAAGAAGAAAATGAATTCTGTGGTGATTACAACTCAAGAGAAAAATAATTTCCTACCTTCACTTTTTTATCCACTGAGCAGGTTGCTATAAATCTGTCATCTGTAGAAAATGCACAACAAAGCACTTCATCCTCATGAGCCTTGATTTCTAGAAGTTTCTCTCCTGTTTCAGCTTTGAACACCTGCACGAACAACAATAAAATCTTTTCACAATAAGTTATTATTCAATAAAACTACTGACCATCACTTAATAAAAATATTTCTTTAAAAGCTTTTAAGCCAGGTGCAGTGGCTCACGCCTGTAATCCTAGCATTTTGGGAAATGGAGGGGAGAGGATTGCCTGAGCCTAGAGTTCAAAACCAGCCTAGGCAACTTGGTGAAACCCGCATCTACAAAAAATCAAAAAAATTAGTCAGGCGTGGTGGCGTGCACCTGTATTTCCAGCTTTTTGGAAGGCTGAGGTGGAAGGATCATCTGAGTCCAGCAGGTTGACACTGTGGTGGCCTCCAGCCTGGGCAACAGAGTGACACTCCTCGACTCAAAATAAATAATAAATTTTTTAAAAAGAAAATAAAAGATCTTTTTTTTCTTGAGTAGGAGTCTCACTCTGTCACTCAGGCCAGAGTGCAGTGGCATGCACATGGCCACCGCAGATACAACCTGCTGGGCTCAGGTGATCTTTCCACCTCAGCCTTCCAAGTAACTGGAACCACAGGTGCACACCACCATGCCTGGCTAATTTTTTTATTATTTATTGTAGAGACGTGGTCTCACCAAGTGGCCCAGGCTGGTCTCAAACCCCTTGACTCAGGCAATCCTCTCGCCTCTGCCTCCCAAAGAGCTGAGATTACAGGCGTGAGCCACTGCTCTTGACTGAAAACAAAAGATCTTAATCACTGTTGTTTTGCAAAAGAGAAATTAACTTGGCAAAGCCACTCCAAAAGTCAGAGTATCTATCAGAATTTGTCGTAACATAGAGAACTAGTCATTGTTAAATATTTGTAAATATCAACAGAAATAAGTGTCAGCATATAGCTTCAGTTCTTGAGACTATTTTGGCAAATCCTTAAAAATCAAATAGAAACCATTTCATTTTATATGCGTTCCACTGGAGGTCCAAAGCCAAAATTAATAAAATCAGTAATAAAGAATACATATGTAAATAAGATATGCAGTCATAATCTACAAAGATTAAAGTATCCTAAATATAGAAGTTTTAACTAGCTTGGTCCTGTTCCCTTCAAAATCAAAAGGTAGAGTGCAAATGTAAAGAAAAACACTCATTGTTTTCTAAAAACAAATGAGAACTTAAAAAAAATTCTTTAAAGCACCTTAGGAAATAGTCTAGTCCAATTCCTATTTGTAAATTTCTTTCTGAAGTCAGACATCTACTAAAGCCCTTGCTAAAAAAAGATATTTTGCTTAATCACTGATTTTAGTCAGAGCCCTATACCCTGTGCTATGAGGTTCCGTGTTTTTAACAGGAAAAATATCACTTCCTCATCACCCTCAGCAGGCAACTGGATAGCAGGGAACTCACTGGCAGGCTAAAGGGCACTTCTCTGCCACCTGCAAGGCTAGAATTGCAAAAACACATCACTGAATCTCTTAAACCTCTAGAAAAACCTTTCATAAAATGTTCAAGAGATGCAGATTTCTTTGCTATTTCTAAGTTGTAACTTTCCTGAATTGTTGATTTTAAACCTATTCTTATCGTCACAGAATTGGGTACATGCCTCTTTCAATTTTCCTCAAGAAGTATGTTTTACCTGTAAGGTTTTATCAGCTCCACAAGAAGCTATTCTCTGACCATCCTCAGAAAAGCAGGCATGGTACACAGCATCTGTGTGGGGGCGGACCACTAACCGGGAGAGATTCTTGATGGTTTTTTTGTTTCTGAATACAGGGGGAAAAATAAGCAGAAATCCAATAAATGAGAATAAAAGTAATTATTTTATTTCAGTAATAAACTGTCTTTTAACATGGTTATGTTCCCCAAAATGCAAAATTCTTAAAATTTAATTACAAGCACACAAATGACAGCATAAATTACCTTAAAAAAAAGTAGATTTTTTTTTTTTTTTGAGTTGGAGTCTCACTCTGTCACCCAGGCTGGGTAGTACAGTGGCACGCTTATGGCCACCACAGCCTTGACCTGCTGGGCTCAGGTGATCCTTCCACCTCAGTCTTCTAAGTAGCTGGAACTATACAAGTGCGTGCCACCATGCATGGTTAATTTTTTTATTTGTTGTAAAGATGACGTCTTGCCAAGTTGCCCAGGCTGGTCTCCAACCCCCGGGCTTAGGCAACCCTCTCATCTTGGCTGAGAAGAGCTAGGATTACAGGCGTGAGCTACCACGCCCAGCAAAAGTGGCATTTTTAAGAGAAAAGCCACCTTATATCAAGTAACCTGTCATGTATTACAAATGTCACTGAGTTGGAAAAACTCTAGTTAATCAAATTAATCAAATCTAGTTAATCAACATGTCACTTTCTATTTTCCTAACTAAAGTATGACTATGCCCATCATTACAACAATGTTCTTTAAAACTACTTTCTCTAACTAGTTATTCAGTTATATACAAAAAAGATAAAGCAATGCCGTTTTCTTTGTATGTTAATCTATTGAATACCAACTATTCCCTAGTATAGATATTATATTATTGCTCATGAGCCGAAGAGTAAAGGAATGTCATGTGTACTACAGTATCAAAATTTCACGTACAAACACTTTGAGTAGCAGTAAATATGCAAAATGGTGTGGTGCTTATTTTGAGAGACAAAGGTGAGCAGTCAGACAAACCAAAAATAACCTCAACGTAGGCAAATTACTTAACCTAACAAGTTTTCATTTTCTCATATGTAAAATGGAAGTAATTCTATTCTAAATGGCACCTGACACATAAAAAAATGTCACTTTTATCACTTTTAAAAAATTAACCACACACAAGACAGAAAAATGATAAAAGTGAACACAAAGGAAAATGAGATTTAGATCCTGCCTAGAAAGTATTATACTTTCCTAAAGTGATCAAACAAATAAGTACAGTCAGCCCTCGGTATCTGTGTAGGTTTGGTTCCAGTACCCACTGCAGATATCAAAATTCACGGATGCTCAAGTATCTATAAAATAGTGCAGAGTCACAAAAAAAAAGTGTAGTGTCTGCACATAACCTACCACATCCTTCCATATTCTTTGAATCATCTCCAGATTACTTATACACCCAATATAATGTAAACAGCTGTTATATACTACACTGTTTAGGGAATGATGACAAGAAAACAAGTCTATACATCTCCAGTGCAGACACAATCACCTACTCTTTCTTTCTAATATTATCAATCCACAGCTTGCTGAATCCATGAATGCAGAACCCAGGGATACAGAGGGTTGATTGTGAAGAACTAGAACGATAAGAACCTGAAAGAACAGACTAGGTGCTGGCAAAGTTAAGAGGATGAGATCTTAAAGGGCTCTTCATTTCCCCTTCATCTATCTACTCGATTCCTCTAAGCCCAGAAAGTGACTTTCACAAGAAGGGCACAAGGGAGATGGCAATGCCAATAAATACACAACAAATGAATGAGTAAACAGATAATTTATTTGAAAACTGAAACTCAATTATTTCTAAGCTTATACCAACCTAAACCTCTCTACAGTAAACAGAAAAAAAAAATAGTTTCTAGTACTGAAATAAAGCATTCTTTGAATATGGCCTGGTCAAAATCAGTTAAAAAACATAGATATAAATGACTAACCATTCTATGAGAGACACCACAGGTGAAAATGCAGTTGATGCAATGGAAGAAAAGAAATAAAACAAAATAAAATAAAAATTGAAAAATTCATAAGGGAACAAGAACTAAACCTATGCTCGTTTGAATTTTTCAGCAACTAACTAAAACAGAAATTCACTCAATCTTCCACAAATTTCTACTGAATACAAACTATATGAATTTTTTAAAACGCTAAATAAATGCTATTCTTAATAACAACTAATATTTATTGAAGCTGGGTTCGGTGGTTCAGCCTGTAATCCCACGCCTTTGGGAGGCTGAGATGAGTGGATTGCCTGAGCCCGTAGGTTCGAGACCCGCCTGGGAAGGCGAGACCTCATCTCTACAATAGATCAAAAAAATTAGCCGGTCGTGGTAGCGTGCGCCTGTAGTTCCAGCTACTTGGAAGGCTGAGGCGCAAGGATGGCCGGAGCCCAGCAGTTCAAGGCTGCGGTGGCCGGTAGCGGCCACTGCACTCCAGTCTGGGCGACAGTGAGACTCCAACTCAAAAAAAAAAAAAAAAACTTATTGAGCACTTTTATGAACTAGGTACTGTTCTAGGCACTATATGTATGTGTGTATGTTTACACACACACGCGCGCACACACACACGCACACTCACTCAATCGTCACAACACTATGAAATAGCACTACCAGGCAAGAGAAGTTGAATAACTTTCCCCTAATGATACGCAACTAAATAGCAGAGCTGGGATTCAGGCCCAGGCAGTCTGGAGCCAGAGGCTGTTACTTTAACCTCCAAACTATTCTATACTGCAGAACATGCAAGGGGGAACCAAAAATAATGGAATTTATTAAAAATTGTATGTTTATTCTTACATATTGAAACTTCAGTCACCTTCAAAGTATTCTCCATTTGATGCAATACACCTATCAGGACACCGTTTCCACTGCTCAAAACCGTTTTGAACTTGTCAATTTTGATGCCTTACTGTGCTCCTGCTATTTTTTGTTTCACATCTTCCACACTGGTGAAACATTTCCCTCTGAGGACTTTTCTCATCCCGGGAAACAAAAAAAGTCGCTCGGGGCAAGACTGGGCGAATAAAGAGGGTGGGGCACAGAGGTCCTGCTGTCTTTGTTCAAAAACTGCTGAACGCGCAGCGTGGTGTGAGCAGCTGTACTGTGAGGGTGGAAGAACCCATTGCCCGTTTGCCACGACTCACCATGTTTCCTCTGAAAATCCTGACACAAACTTCTCAAAACTTCCAGGTAAAAACTGGTTGACCATATGATCTGGAGGCACAAATTCTGAGTGTACTACGAGGGGCCCACCCTCCAAAAGATAAGTCTGTTTTTTCGGGGGGTTCCCCCCCATACAGACTCATATGAGGGAAAAACAACAGACAATTACCATAAAGTGTAACAAATGCTATGATATGGGGGAAACAGAGAGTATTCTTGAATACAGACAAATCTAGCTTCCATAAGTTAAGGGGCTGCTTCCCAGGGAAAGTGATTCTTCTACTTCCCAAGAAAGTGTTTAAGAAGGTTGACTCTGGAAAGTGGGGAGGTGGGGGAGACATGGGGAGCCTTTGACTTTTCATTTTACATCCTTGCAATATTGTTTTGTGTCTTCGTTAGAAACATGCATTGTTTAAAATAAAAATAAAACCAACAAAAAATTAAATTTAAATTTAAATTTTAACTAAAAAAAAATTTAAATTCTTTCAGATACCTCCTCCTTCTTGGAACCCTCCCTGAATTTCTCATTCATCCAAAGTTAATTATTCATCAGTTCTACTTCTATTTTATACATGCTTCTGTTGTTGCACTCGTTATATTATATTGTCATTATTCACTTAAGTTTGTTTTTTTACTACCAGATTGTGAACTCCTTAGCACTTAGTAACAGCACTTAGCACATGAGAAAAACCCAAATGTTTGTTGAACTAAACTGAATCGCAGAAATCACCTATGACAACCTGACTTATTTGGAAAGAGGACCCAGTGCCACAAAGAACACAGATACCAGTCAGATGCAGTAGCTCACACCTGTAATCTCAGCATTCTGGGAGGCTGAGCTGAAAGGACTGCTTGAGTTTGAGACCACCTCGGCAACATAGCAAGACCTCATCTCTACAGAAAAATCAAAAAACTACCCTGGGCACGGTAGTGCACATGTGCAGTCCCAACTATTCAGGAGGCTGAGGAAGAAGGACCACCTGGGTCCAGGAGGTCAAGGCTGTGGTGAGCCGAGATCACGTCACTGCACTCCAGTCCAAGTGACAGAGACTGCAACTCAAAAAAAGATCACAGATACCAACCTGTAGTTCCATCTAGATATAAATTTTACATATGAAAAGACCACCACTAGCCAGGCTCGGTGGCTCAGCCTGTAATCCCGCGCCTTTGGGAAGCTGAGGTGAGTGGATTGCCTGAGTCCGTGGGTTTGAGACCCGCCTGGGCGCAAGACCTCATCTCTACAATAAATCAAAAAATCAGCCAGGTGTGGTAGCGCATGCCTGTAATTCCTGCTACTTGGAAGGCTGAGGCGGAAGGATCACCAGAGGCCAGCAGGTCAAGGCTGCGGTGGCCAGGAGCGGCCACTGCACTCCAGTCTGGGCGACAGAGACAGATTCCAACTCAAAAAAAAAAAAAAAGAAAAGACCACCACTTATATTTATAATTTCAAGCTATGAAAGAAGCATGGCATATGGAAAGAGCATGAAAAAATAAAGCCAGACAGACTTAGGGTTTAAATTCCAGTCAATAAGTCATATGAACTTAACCAAGTCCCAACTTCTAAGAGACTTAATTTCTCATTTGTAAAACAGGGCAAGTAATATTTACTTTTATAGTGCTATTTTAAAGATCAAACATATGAATAACATGATTACGTAACAGATAACAGTTATTAAGCATTTTATCCTTTCGTCTCTATAAATTCACAAGACTAAGGTAAGAGCAAAAGTTAACAGCCTCCTTTAGGAGATGGGAGAATCAGGATTCCATGGTCATTCAATAAGGGCTACATGCAAAGCAAAGTACACATCAGAACCATTATCTCCTTAAATTTTCACAAAGCCAGCACTCACCTCAAAAGATTATGTCCTCTCCATCTTACATTTGAAAGAGTAACCTGTACCTTGTTCAAAAACCACAAGACTGTTGAGTTTTAGAGCTGAGATTCAATCCCAGATCTGGGGATCCGAAGTCCATGCCCTCCACCATGACACTCGATCACAGTAAGCCAAGCACTTGGCATTAATACTTAGGATGACTTGGCAAAATGGCACAGGCATCTATTTCCATGGACTCTTTGAAAATACAAGTTTCCTCCTATACTTACTTCTCTGGAGTTTTCTGATAAGTAGCAATGCCTATTAAAAGTTCCAGCCCTTTCCAAAGTACTTAAATCTTCCTGGAGTGGACTTATGCACTACCCGAAAAATAAGGACATAGCTAGCGCTGTACTTCCTTTGGGTTCTCTCCCAGCCTACTTACATCCATTCCAGGTAGAGCATCCCGTTATCCATCTCCTGCTTGGCCTGCCGCTTAGCCTGCTGATAAACTTCTGAAGTTTCCGGTTCACAGAGACCCAGTTGCACAATATTAGGAAATGGCTGTCGTCCAAGAAGGTGTCCATTTAAAGATAAGAACTCCTGAAAATTCTCACAGACTGCACAATCCTATGAATAAACTGAAATCTCTTAGAAACACAATCAGAGCCAAGATTTGACATTTTTCTGTTTCTGTGATCTTGCCACTTTAAAGGGTTCAATGAAATATTCTCTATATAAATTAAAATTAAACAGCCAACCATTAGATAACAAATATATAGTGATCCTCTTCTAACTTTTAAACATAGGGTAAAAGTCTCATTATCAAACATATTTCTTAACACATTAAAAAAAAAACAAAAAAACTGAACACCTAACTTTCTCAACTTTCAAATCTCATTCTATCTATTTTCCCAATAGTCTAGGAAGCAAATTAATTAGAATAATCAAAGATCAAAGTAGGAAAATTATCTCCCTTCACCTCTTCTGTTCCTCTCCACCAGTAGGCCTAGAATTAAATGTCAAAATAAGATGTCCTTTAAGCACTTTAAGCATTTTAATGTTAATGAAAAAAACATGCATGTACCTTTTCATCCAGTATATGCCTGTATTCCACAAACTCATGAATCAGATGAGCGGGGCCTACGAGTTCTGTTTTTGCTTTAATCCAATCCAGGGAAAACATTAAAGCACAAAGTTCCTTTTTAAAAAAAGTAAAATAAGGACTGTCAACGAGATCAAAAATTTTCAGTGTAACATCATTTTTCTAACACTACTGAAAGAAACTTAGGATTAGGGTCAGATATCTAGAATATGAAGCATGCAAAGGAAGCTAGCGAAAAAAAACCCATCAGTATTTCCAGAGAAACATACAGTGGGCCTCACACCTTAACTCCAAATACATTTCAGCTGGATTAAAAACTTAAATATAAAGTGAGGGCCAAAGAGAGGTCCGACGTTTACCTGGGCAATGGCCACTTATCTACCTAATCCTGAATCATATCCCACATAATTAAAATAGCCTAAAATAAATAAATAAATCTATTCTCTCTCTTCCCCCCACCAAAACAATTAAATATAAAAGCCAGGTATGGTGTCTCACACCTGTAATCCCAGCACTTTGGGATGCCTAAGCAGGAGGATCGCCTGAAGCCAGGAGTTCAAGACCATCTAAGGCAACATAGCAAGTGCCCGATTCTAAAACATAATATTCGTCAGGAATGGTGCCGCATGCCTGTAGTCCCAGCTACTCCAGTTGGAAGTCAAGGCTATGGTGAGCCATGATTACCTCACTGTACTTCAACCCGGACTACAGAGCCAGACCCTGTCTCAAAAGATTTTTTAAAAATTAAATAGAAAATAGAAAACCTTTTAAAAAAACCTAGAAGATACAGGCAAACATTTTTGAAACACTGGGGTGAAGGAACTTTGTAAACATGACACCAAGGCAAAATACCAAAAAGAAAGAAAAGTGGTACATTTAATTACACAGAAATTCATATCTTCAATACAGTAGGAAGAAATATAAACTAAATATAAGACCAAAAAAGGTTGAAAAAAAAACTTATTTATAACGTGATAGATAAGAACTTGGTGATAGTCTTCTTTACAGAAAATTTTAATAAAACAGTAAGAAAAAGAAAAACATTCCAGTAGAAAAATAGGTAAAGAGAAAGGTTGAGAGCCAATCCACCAAAATAAAAAGTACATATGGCCAAAATTCCACCAGTGATACAAGTGAAACAACAAAAATTTACCATTTAACTATCAAATTTCTGGCCAGGCACGGTGGCTCACACCTGTAATCCCAGCACTTTGGGAGGCTGAGGCAGGAAGATTGCTTAAGCCCAGGAGTTCAACACCAGCCTAGACAACATAGCAAGAATTTGTTTCTACAAAAAATTATAAAACAAAATTAGTCCAGCCTGATAACACACCTGTAGTCCCAGCTACTTGGGAGACTGAGGGGGAAGAATCGCCTGAGTCCAGGAGGTCAAGGCTGCAGTGAGCCATGATCTGTGACACTGCACTCCAGCCTGGACAACAGAGTGAGTCTCTGACTCAAAAAGTAAATATTGCAGATAAATAAATAAATATAAGACTTCTTTTTTTTTTTGAATTAGAGTCTCACTCTGTTGCCCAGACTGGAGTGCAGTGGCACACTCCCGGCCACCGCAGCCTCAACCTGCTTGGCTCCGGCGATCCTTCCGCCTCAGCCTTACAGGTAGCCAAACTACAGGCACATGCTACTATGCCTGACTAATTTTTCGATTTATTGTAGAGATGAGGTTTCGCCAAGTTGCCCAGGCGGGTCTTGAACCCACGGGCTCAGGTAATTCACTCATCTCAGCCTACAAAGTGCTGGGATTTCAGGCTGAGCCACCAAGCCCAGCTAAATATCAGACTTCTAAAGACTAAAGGAATAATAACAATATTGGCTAGAATCAGAGGATATGAACACTTTCAATCTCTGCTGGTAGTGATATAAAACAGAGCGTCCTTCTGGAGGGCAGTGCAGCAACCTGTATTAAAATTTAAACTGAGCTGAGTGCAGTGGCTCATGCCTGTAATCCCAGCACTTTGGGAGGCGGAGGCAAGAGGACTGCCAGAGACCAGTGGCTCAAGACCAGCCTGGGCAACTTGGCAAGACCTCGTTTCTACAATAAATCAAAAATTTACCTGGGCATGGTGGCACGCACCTATAGTTCCAGCTACTTGGAAGGCTGAGGCGGAAGGATCACCTGAGCCCAGCAGGTTGAGGCTGCAGTGGCCATGAGCATGCCACTACCCTCCAGCCTGGGCAACAGATTAAGATTCCAATTTTTAAAAATGAAAATAAATAATTAAAATTTAAACTGTACACACCACTTGACCTATAAATTCCACTTTTAAAAAGGTATCCTAAGAAAATAACCAGATGAGTATGCTTTAACAATCTAACTGGCCTTCAACCAACTAGCCATCATAACATAGCTATACAATGAAATAATATGCAGCTTTAAAACTCATGTCACTCTATATAAATGACATGAAAAGATGACCATTATATATAAAGTGGCAAAAAGTAATATCTAAGACTATTTCTATTATGATCCATTTGATTTTAAGGGACAAGTGTGTTTATCTAAGCCACAAAATGACCGGGAAAACTGTACACAAAAACATTAGCAATGGTTAAAATCTTCATTTTTTTGTTTGTAGGTTTTTCTGTTTTTCCAATAAAAATAAACCATTACCTTTAAAATCAGAAAAAGGCAATAAAAGAAACTGATTCCTGCCACACTATCATACACATCAAATACTTTTTTTAAAATGCATTGACCCAGTAATTCTACTTCTAGGAATTTTCCAAAAAAACAACAAAGGTACAAAGATAAATAAGAATACTCATTATACCACAGGGGCAAAAAGCTAAAAACAATATAATGTTCAATAATTAGAGTTTGGTTAAGTAAATTAGGGCACATATATTTACTTGAAAACCATCATTCTGATGTACATTATTAAATGTAAGGATCTTTTGCCAGGTGAAAAAACAGGTTACAACAATTTACTATTTTTGTAGCCAAGAGGTAACATAACTTGGCATAGAAAAATTACTGAAAATATACATTGTTTTCCCCAATGTAAACATTTTGAGTAGCCAGCTGGTCGTCATGACTTCAAAAACCATCTATGTGCTACTGATTCCCATTTTTTTCTTTCATACATAACTCTCCCCAGAATTCTAACTGCCTATTCATTATTTCCAACAAGATGTCTTAATAGGCATATCAAACTTAACAGATCCAAAGTGAGTTCATAACCTTCCCCTTCCACTGTAGGAAAACACCTGTTCTCCTAGAGTTTCCCACTGCAGCTCATGGCAGCTCCATTCCTTCCACTGAACGAGATTGGGGTCATCTTTGACTCTTCTCTCTCTTTCAGAATGCACATCAAAGCCATCAGCAAATCATGATGGTTCTACCCCTATAACATCACTTTCTTTCTCCTTCCATGTTTTGTCCTTCTTATGAGCACTTAACTACCCAATGACATCTTATAAATCTGTGTGTCTGTCTCCCCCTAGAACATAAGCTCAGTGAGAACAGAGGTATGTCCGAGCTGTATCCTCTTAACCAAAAACAATACTAGTACATAACAACACTCAGTAAGTATTCTATGAATGAATAAATGAATGTACTCAATGCTTAAAAAACAAATCCATACTTCCCACAAAGAAAGGCTACTAGTAAGAAGAGAGTCAATTTTGTGGTGACTCATTTGCTGCAGTTACTAAGGTACCTTTTTAAATTAATGCAAGTAAAATCAGTAACAAAACCAAAAATATTTACATAGACTATCATCCTATTGAACTAATAAAAGAAAATTCTAATCAAAGTGGTACATTTAACTACATAAAAATTCCAATCTTCAATGCAATAGAAAGCAATATAAACAAAATTTAATACAAAAATTAAACCAGAAAAAACATTTATTTGCAACATATACAGAAAAAGGAAACTGAGGTAAAAGAAAAGAATTTGTAAATGGGTTATCTTACTTTGTACATTTTAGCACTGGCCATGTGATAGGCGAGAAAATTGTACCAATACATGCAGTCCTCCTGATCTGGTGAAAGAGTATGCAGCTGGTAATACCTCTGAAACTGAGTGATTACCTTCTTATGTAGATCCTGAAACCCAAATTAAACATTTTAGAAGACAGAAACCATTTCATAACCTAAGTATCACAGTAACTCCAGCTTCCAAAGCTACTAAGAATGTACAGAGAATCTCCCACAAAATAGTAACTTTACAGTGGAGAATTATGACAAACATCACTTTAGCCAAATTATCAACATTAACATCACCCATAATAAGACATATCAACATCAAGTATACCAACATATGATACAATGAGAATGACACAACATCATTTCTGTGGTATTCTTGTCAAATATGTATAACCTCAATCTAGTCAGGAGAAAACACCAGACAAAACCAAATTAAGGTATGCTGTACAAAATAACTGGCCAGTACTCTTCAAAAGTGACAGGGCCATGAAAGACAAAGACAAGAATTTTCACAAATTTAAGGAGAGTAAAAAAAAATGACAGCTGGGGAAACAAAATCGTATGCAATATGGAATTCTGAATTGGCCTGGACCACAAAAAGGATATATGAGTTAGTTAACAGTATTGTATCAAGGTTCATTTTCTGACTTCAATAATTGTACTATGGTTACATAAAATGTTAACATTAGGGAAAACCAGGTGAAGGTTTATGCATAGAAACTGTATTATTTTGTACCTTTTCTATAAGTCTAAAATCATTTGAAAATAAAACGTTTTTCTAAAAAAAAAAGGTTGTACTGAGATGCAAGTACCTGAAGCTGGCTGTGATTCTTCTCTGTAAGAAAATCTACTTGAAGATCATGTAAATAATAGCGAAACGACTTTCCATTCCGGTCACAGAATAAGAGAGATTTATTCACAAACTCCTGCAGTATGTCTTCAACTTCTTCAGTTTCCATGTCCCAAAGAATACATAACACCTAGGAATCACTTTTAGCATTTAATGTGCCACAGAAATAAAATGACCAGGACTGTACACAAGGTATTAACACACCAAAAAAAATCTTAAAGCCCTGAATAGGAAACCATAGTCATTCCTCGAGAAAGAAAAGAGAAAGAAAAGGCAGATTCATCTCCAGCGTCACTAGAACCACCAAGAAACAGGTAAGTCCTGAGTCCAACACAATGGAGACCACGAGCAGAAGAACTTGTACGCCTTCCACCCGCTACCACCTCAGTCCCCCGGACAGTATTCTTCCCATGTGCTCTGTAACAATATCCTCAGGACTACATCAAAGCTTACAAGCCACAAATAACCAATGACGAAGGTTGCTGGTCCAACTATTACCTTTGTAGGCACCTTCACATCCTTCTGAAAGATGGAAAGATCTGTATAATAATCTTTGATGTCTTCTCTAAGCATTTCAACACTGATCGACATGGCTTCATCCAGAGCTTCATAATCATAAGATGAAGATTTCCTTATTCTCTTAAATTGTTTATTCTGGAGTTGTCTGAGGTAGTACTCCCAGCGATTGGGAAAATCACGTAAAAGTGCACCAATTAAAGACACTACAAGGGGAGAACCTTTAAAGAAAAAAAAAGAAGTCACTGTGTTAATCTACCCTATTTTTAAAATCATTACTAAGTTAAGAATCAACTGGCGGGGCTTGGAGGATCATGCCCAGCACTGTGGGAGGCCGAGTTAGGAGGTCTGCTTGAACCCAGGAGTTCAAAACCAGCCTGAGTAACAAAGCAAGACTCTGGTTCTATTCAGAAAATAATAATAATAAACTTAATCTTCAGAAACAATTTCCATGATATATTATCAAAAGCCTTAAGATATTTATAACTCTTGGGTCCACTTCCAGGTATTTATTCTAAGAAATTTATTACAAATAAGACAGATTTCACTTACGTACTCATCACAGTATTATTTTACAATAGTGAAAAATCTTAAACAACATAAACTGTGTCCAATAATACAGAACTGGTTGAATAAATAAATAAAGATGTATCCCAAATATTATGCCACTGGTAAATTTTTTTCAAAAGATATTTAACAACATGGGAAAATGCTCAAGATATATAAAAAGGACAAGATTAAAAGCTATGTATACCATTATGAACTCAATCTTTTTTTGAAGTTTGATATATCCTGCAAGACTGGAAGAAATACCCTCATGATAATAATAATTATTAGATTATGGATCATTTCTATTTTTTCTGTTTCAAAATGAACACGCATCACCCTTTACAATGATTATAAATCAAGTATTTTTTCTAAGTTTAAGATTTTTTTAAATAAAATTAAAATTATGTATCTATTTAACAGCAGAAAGAAAAATTAGGTATTTCCAAACATAACAACAATGAAAAAAATAACTTCAGGACCTCATAGATTTGACTATATAAAATGTTAAGCTCTGTATGTCAAAAAATACAACAAATAAAATTAAAAGGTACAAACTAGGAAGTAATATTTGCAAAAATATCACAAAGGGTTAATAATTTAAATTTAGTTAGAGTATTTAAAAATAAATATTAACATCCAGGATCTACAAGGAACTCAAACATGCCAGAAGGAAAAAAACAAACAGCCATTAAAAAGTAGGCAAAAGACAAGAACAGGCACTTCTCAAAAGAAGATATACAAGCAGCCAATAGACACATGAAAAAATGCTCAGCCTCACTAATCATCAGAGAAATGCAAATCAAAACCACACTGAGATACCACCTAACTCCAGTAAGAATGGCCATCATTAATACAACAAAAAACAACAGATGCTGGGGAAGATGCAGAGAAAAGGGAATGCTTCTACATTGTTGTAGAGTGCAAACTAATTTAACCTCTATGGAAAATAGTATGGCTATTTCTAAAAGAACTAGAAATTGACCTTCCATATTGACCCAGCAATCACCCTTCTGGGAATATACCCAGAGGAGCTCAAATCATTCTACAAAAAAGATACCTGTGCACCCATGTTTACTGCAGCACTATTCACAATAGCAAAAACATGGAACCAACTGTGCTGCCCATCGAAACTGGACTGGATTAAAAAAATATGGTACAGTCCGGGCTCATTGGCTGGGCCTATAATCCCAACACTTTGGGAGGCAGAGGCGAGTGGACTGCCTGATCCCAAGGTTTTGAGACCAGCCCGGGCAATTTTGGCAAGACTTCATCTCTACAATAAAAAAATTAGCCAGACGTGGTAGCTCACACCTGTAGTTCCGGCTACTTGGAAGGCTGAGGCAGAAGGATCGCCTGAGCCCAATAGGTAGACTCTGGGGTGGCTGTGAGCGTACCACTGCACTCCAACCTGGGCAACGGAGTAAGACTCCAACTCAAAAAAAAAAAAAAGGGATATATATACACGAAGGAATATTACACAGCCATAAAGAAGGGCAAAACTATGGACTTCTCAGCAACTTGGATGGATCTGGAGTCTATAATACGGAATGACCTATCACAGAAACAAAGAACTGAGTACCAGATGTTCTCACTCATAAGTGGGCCCTGAACACCTATCGCCACACTACAGGGAAGGGACTGGCAGTAGCGGGACACTGCCAGGGGAGGAGGGTACACAACATCAGTAAGTGTGCCTGAACCTAATCCAGGCAGAGAGGTCTGATGGGAAGCCCGAAACCTTCCCTGTATCTAAACCACTTATGTATGCAAGCCTTACTTGTACTTCACAGCTTTAAAATTAAATTAAATTAAAAATAAATAAAATTTAAAATATTTATCATCATAAAAGAAAAGTGAGTCAAGAACAGTTTCTTAAAACACAAACATTCAATGAAGAAGTAAAAAGTTTAACTTCACTAATAAAAAATGCAAACTAAGAAGACAATACCAATTGTTACTTATCAAATTAGAACACTATTTTTATAAAATCACAGCCAAAATAAATTTCAAATATGACTCTCACTGAATTTTTTACTCTTTGATAGCAGACATCATATCTTTACCTCCATCTGCTAACATGGCCTCTAATATGTTGTGAATAGACATTAAATATTATTTTAATGAATGATACCAGAATATCATGTATGCATCTGGGTAGCAGAGAAAATCCTAAAACACTAAAACTCCTAGAAAAGTTTTAGATGTTCAGGTGCTAAATATCATATTCATTAGCTTAATTTATATATAGGGAATTAATATCCCTATAACCCTCCATAAACAAAATAAATAACCATTACCTTTACATTCTTTTATAATACTATGAGCTTGTTCTGGTAAATCAGCCTTCTTCATATTAACAAAAAGGGATAAAATTTCAAGTCCTTTTTCTTTTCCTAAGCCACTTTCCACAGGAACTACATATTTAGGACCTGCAACAAAATCACAAGACAAAATAAGTAATTTGATATGCCTTATATTTAAATCTAATTGAAATTAAATATAAAAAGTACTAAAAAGTAAATGGATAATCCTTACCCATTACCGAATCTGTAACACTCTTGTCTCTGGTTGTAAGAAGAATCTGACACTGATTATCAAAAGCTTTTAACACCCACGGATCCCAAACATCATCCAAGATCAACAGAGCCCTAATTAAAAAAACACAATAAATCACTAAGGACACTTAATTTAAGCTTCTTTTTAAAAAGAGAATCCCACCAGTGTCTTTTAAATCTACCAAATAAAAAAAAGATCATCTTAAATGATTCTTCCTTTCTTTGCTATACTCCTTTCTCAATATGCTGATTCAAATAAGAAAAAAAAAAATTAGAGACATCCCCCTCCTTAAACCCCAAATCAGAACACATTAAAATTTGGGTCCTGGCAGTTTCTTTCATCTATGCCAACTCTAGCATCTCTCCATTTGTTTTTCCCCTTCTTTCTCTAATAAACTTTGTTTGAAACTTTAAAAAAATAAATTGGGGTCCTATAAAAAAAAGGGGGGGACTGTATACCATGTAAGTATTAGGAATTTATTTGTTCAGCCATTATTTACTGAGTATTTAGAGTTAATGGGATTTTCCAACTCAGTCTTTAAGCACCAAAAGCAAATTATTAATAGAACAGAGCTCGGATTGGCATTAGAATGACTCACAGAATAATGATAATATGTGACGATTTTTTACACACAAAACTAGCAATTTCATATGCTCCAACCGAATAGAATGCACTAGCAAGAATAATGCTTTTTATTTGGCACACTAATTTTTTTAATCTATTTGTTTATTCATAATAACAAAGAAGCTCTATGCCAATTTCTAATTGGTCTTTCCAAAAACTTTCCTAAACTCACCAGAACAGAAGAGGGAAAAAATACAACTAAAACCTGTTAGCATAATTATATACTTGCATTTTTATCTGAATGACACACTATTTCTGTATATTACAAAAAAAAATACTCTGCATACATACACAGGGTGAAAAATTACAAAAGCTTAAAACAAATGATGCTGAGAGAAAAGAAAATACCTGACTTTATAAGACAAGGCCTGATACATCTGAAAGCAGGTGGGGTATTTTCCTAAACAGAAGTTACTTCCATTTTTGCAGAAAAAAGAAAGCCAGGACTAGGGAAAAGTTACTGAGCAATTAAAGAGAAATGGTTCATGTTCCCAATCCTATTTCCTCAAGAAAAATAGGTATCAGTGTCTGTCAAGGGGAGGAGGAGATGGTAGAGGGATCCAGAGAAGAAATAAGGGGAAGAGAAAAAAACAATGATGTAATGAGTATGCATCAGAATCACCTAGCAGGTTTCTCCCCAAAAAAACTCTTCTCACCCTATGCTCTGATACTGATCCCCTTACCAATTTGGGAATCACTGCCATACTCAGCCACTATTACATCTGAAAATGTACTGCATCCTCAGGTGCATCAGGGTATTAAAAATAAGCTCAAAGCCACTACCTCTTACTCAATATACAACAACATTCCCAAGGCATGCTTCACTCATCTTGGTACCTGCAGCCCTTGGTCCAGAACCTGGCACAAAACTCAATGTTAGTTAAATGGACAAATGAAAGAATAGCTGCTAGACCACAGGAATCAAATGTTGACTTAAGGCCAGGTGTGGTGGCTTACACCTAATCTCAGCACTCTGGGAGGCTAAGGCATGAGTTGAAGACCAGTCTGGGCAACATAGCAAGACCATGTCTCTCCAAAAAATTCAAAATTAGCTAGGCATGGTGATGCATGAGGAGGGAGGATCACTTAAGCCCAGGAGTCCGAGGCTACAAAGAGCTAGGATTGTGCCATTTCACTCCAGTATGGGTAACAGAGTAAAACCCTATTTCAAAAACAAAAAAAATTATTATCAAATTGTTGACTGAGTCTCAGGCTAGACTCTTAACACAAGCAGCAACTAAACTGCTGTCTCCTTTTTGGCTAAGAAAAATTGAAACAGTTAATTAAAAACAGTGCCTGATACATAATTTAAGGCAAGTATTTCTGAATAAATTAATCATTGAAGAAGAAACAAACTCACTTTTGAAGTACATGGAAGAAGAGTTACCTGTATACTTCTGATAACTAGACACCCAACAGAAGGGTCCCATTAAAAAAAAATAGTTCCTGACTTTTATCAGTTGCCTGAATTTATTCTCTCACTTGTTCTATGCTAATCCATTAGAAACAAATGAATTCAAAGTAAGAAGTTTTTACCGCCGGGCTCGGTGGCTCAGCCTGTAATCCCGCGCCTTTGGGAGGCTGAGATGAGTGGATTGCCTGAGCCCACGGGTTCAAGACCCACATGGGCAACTTGGCGAGACCTCATCTCTACAATAAAATCAAAAAATTAGCCGGGCGTGGTAGCGTGCGCCTGTATTTCCAGCTACTTGGAAGGCTGAGGCAGAAGGATTGCCGGAGCCCAGCAGGTCGAGGTTGAGGTGGACAGGAACGGCCACTGCACTCCAGTCTGGGTGACAGAGTGAGACTCCAACTCAAAAAAAAAAAAAAAGAAGTTTGTACCGTCTAACAAAACCCACTCACCAGCTTAACTATTTATGACATTCTTCTAGAGAATCTACAAAGTGTAGATATGAGATGACGTGGCAAGTAGGGTGCAAAGACGAGAAAAGTAGCAATTTTAGAACAAGAAGCAGTCACTTTTTTTGTTTTAATGCAAAAGAGAAGCAGGAAATCATGATTCTTAGCCCCTCTACAGAAGAGCAGGTAAAGGGCATGATGGTCTCAAGACATCAGCAGTTAAGTCTCATTAGGCCTCCATACCCCAGTTAAATTTGGCCTTCCGTACCTTGGGTGCTTGCGAAGCATCAGAATGCGGAGACGGTCTTTGGCCTCTTCAATGTTAAGTGGAAGCCTCCGGGAAAAACTCTCATCCTGATCCAACCGTGTGCAAAGATTCTGTAGTTTCATCAGAAGCCCAGACTTGTCTTGTTTCCCAATTGAAACCCAATGCACACCCCCTGGGAAACAGCCTAGTGAGGAAAAGAATAATAACCTTAAGGCCTTTGAACAGGAGTCCTCCTTAGAATGGCTTTACTGTCAAGCATCAGATTTACTCCAAACTTCAATCCCATCTCAGCTTCAGTTTCTCTTAATTCAGGCTATAAATTCTGCTTGTAGGTTATTGTTAAGCTTTACATCCTGCTTCTAAGAGAAGTGGAAGATGTGAAGAAATTCAAGTTTGCAGGCAATCTGCTGCTTATCAGAAAAATCTTACCAAGCAAAATTTCACACTCTTCATCCTATGTCATCAGTGAACACTCACAGCAGTTTCTCAACTTCAGCACTCTTCACCTTTTGTGCTGACAATGTTTTGTTGTGAGGGACTGTCCTGTGCATTACAGGATGTGTTAAACAGTCTTCTTGCCTCATATACACTAAATGCCAGTAGAAATCCCCCTCCAGTACAACCAAAAGTATCTCCAAACACAGTCAAAAGTTCCCTGTGGGGCAAAATGACCCCAAGTTAAGAACTCCTGGGCCAGACACAGTGGCTCACAACTATAATCTCAGCACTTTGGGAGGCCGAGGTGGGAGGACAGCTTGAGCCCAGAGTTTGAGACCAGCCTAGGCAACAAAGTGAGACTTCGTCTCTACAATAAATCAAAATATTAGCCGGGCATGATGGCGCACATCTGTAGGCCCAGCTACTTGAGAGGCTGAGGCAGAAGGATCGCCTGAGCCCAGGAGGTCAAAGCTGCGGCAAGCTGTGATCTGAGCCACTGCACAACAGCCTGGGGAACACATTGAGACTCCAAGACAAAATAAAAAAATTTTTTTTTAAAAAGGGACAACAGGAAGAAAAGGAAAGATGGTGATAGAGGCGATTGGAGTCTCCGTATAAATGAATGGGTGTCAGCAAAGTTGTGTGAATGTCTGATTGAGTGGAGACATAGAAAGGAGAGGACAGAGATCTCCTGCTTAGGCAGCTGCCCTGCACAGCTGCTTGGACCTCAGCGGGCTCTACAGCCCAGGGGCAGGAACCATCTCCACAGCACCACCCAGAAAAGAAAAAAAGGGAATAAACAAGTGAGGATCACCTCCAGTGGGTGCCACCTGTCGCTGCAGCCGTCATCCCACATCAGACACCAGCAACAAGAACTGCGATAAAATATACCAGAGAAACCAGAGGAGACACAGACACCCCATCCCCCAACTGAAGCATTTGCGGTCTGTGAGGCAGAATAATCCAGCCCTAGATCACAGAGAAGTGACAAGGAGTTTTAAAGGGACCCAGCACCCTTTTTTTCCCAGTGATCTGCAAGACGTGTGATTCAGGTGGGCAACATTCCGAGCAACACACACGGAGAAGCGCTGGACACAAGTGGATCAGCTGGGGGCAGTTCGCAGTCTTCCGCCAACTCCAGGAGTGAGCAGGGGGTTAGATCTGAAGTGTTTGCAATCCACACTGCAGCCTAAGAACCCAGTCCCCGCTCCAGGCAGATTAGCAGGGGTCAGTTTAAAAGTGACCCTACGCAGGCTTGGTGGCTCAGCCTGTAATCCCAGCGCATTGGGAGGCTGAGGTGAGTGGACTGCCTGAGCCCGCGGGTTCGAGACCCACCTGGGCAACTTGGCAGGACCTCATCTCTACAATAATCAAAAATTAACCGGGCGTGGTAGCGCGTGCCTGTAGTTCCAGCTACTCGCAACGCTGAGGCGGAAGGATCGCCAGAACCCAGTAGGTCGAGGCTGTGGTGGCCGGGAGCAGCCACTGCCCTCCAGTCTGGGTGACAGAGTGAGACTCCAACTCAAAAAACAAAAAAAAGTGACCCTACACCCTTTCCCCAGCGATTTGCGAGACACGTGATTCAGGCAGCAACGCTGTGACGAGCACACAAGAAGAGGGTTAAACATAGGCAGATCAGCTGGGGGCACCTTCCAGCCTCTACACAACCACCGGGGGCAAACAGGGGGCCGGACTCAGAAGTCAGACGCTCCTCCCTTCCGAAACCACTCCCCTGTGCCAGGAGCTGAGAGAAGCAGTGCTTGGGTCACGCCTACAAGAAACCTGAAGTCTCAAAACTGCCAAAAGACGGTACTCAAGGGTTACATAAGTTTTTTGTTGTTGCTGTTCTGGGATTTTTTTGTTTTTTTGTTTTTTTTTTGTTTTTCTTTATTTTTTGCATCCATGTGACTCTACCTTTTTTTTTTTTTTAAATATAGCTTATTGGGGGTGGGCATTTTGTTCTGTTTTACCACATCCCCCTCTTCTATCTAATAAGGCCACATATTAATGTGAAAATTTCCTCACTGGCTTTCGTTTCTTAGGGATTGTTGCTTGTGTGCTCCATGTTTTCCCTCTTTGTTTTTGATTTTTTTTTCATTTTATTTTGTTTTTGTTTCTGTTTTGGTTTGGTTTTCCTCTCTCCCTTTCTTTTTCTCTCTCTGTCTTCCTGTTTGATGGTTTGTATCTTTTTCTTTTTCACCTTTGCTGTCTCCACTGTCATCCACTCCACATTCTCTCTTTATTAACTCCTCCTCCCTCCCCTCATGGTATTTTGTACCCAGGGGAGATACATATGCTGCCACTGTATGGACATACTGTAAGGAGGTGGGAAGTGAACCCGGGGATCCACACATCAATCAGCAAACATCATGACCATCAGACAGCTTTTGATGATGGCCTTAGCAGCCCCTAACACATTTCATTCAAATCTCAAATCTGCAAGGGAGTAATACAGCTCCCCTGCTCCAACTCAGTTCCAAAAATCGAACTAGTCCAGAGGCTTTATTCAAGGGAGAATAGAGGGTTGAACAAAAAGAAGTCAAAACTACTCCCTTTCTCACTGAGCAACGGAAGTAAAGAGAAAAGAAAAACCCACCACAAATGAAGAAAAATGAAAGAAGAACCACAGGCACCACACAAAGTCCAAAGAGGAGAGTCCACGAGTATACAGACTTTGGAACTCAAACAATGAAGAGCACCCAGATTGACTGGTCTCAGACCACAAATGCAAAGATCAAGAAATAACCATTCCTTGCTGAACAAAAGGTGAACAAGAACCTAGAAAAGCAAGATGAAAACATGAAAGAACTAATGGCTGAGATGCAAACAATAGAGAATACACTAAATGAAATAAATAATAAGCTGACAAGCATAGAAAATAGAATTAGTCAGGCAGAAGAAAGAATATTAGAGCTTAAAGACCAAAACTTGAAGAACTAACCCAATCTTTTAAAAAAAAAAACATAGAGAAGCTTTAAAAAGACAGAACAAAGCCATCAGGAGGTATGTGACTATATTAGGAGACCAAACCTAAGACTGATAGGTATCCCTGAAGCAGATAAGGAGAATGAGAGCAGCCTGGAACAAACATTCCAAGAGGTCATCCAAGAAACTCCCCACATCTCATCAGAGATGTGACAATCCTAACACAAGAGATACAGAGAACCCCTGCAAGGCAGCAAATAAGAAGACCAACTCCTAGACACATAGTAATTCGCTTACACAAAGTAGGTATAAAAGAAAAAAATCCTAAAGGCAGCAAGATAAAAAGGTCAGACTACCTACTGGGGAAGACCAATTAGAATAGCAGCAGACTTGTCTACAGAAATACTGCAGGCTAGAAGAGACTGGAGTCCAATCTTCAAAACACTCAAAGATAAACAATTTCAACCAAGAATTTCTTACACAACTAAACTAAGCTTCATCAGTGATGGACAATTAAAATCCTTCCAGACACTCAATCTCTGAGTTTATGCTGCCTCCAGACCAGCTCTACAAGAGATGCTTAAGAAGGGATTAAGTACAGAAGGAAAAAAAAGAACAACCACGTTCCTCCCAAGAATGAAAGAAAACAAAGAACCAATAAAGCAAACATCACGACTGCAAGTTTGAAAACACACACATAAATCAACCCGAAAACCAACAAACAAATAAGTAAACAAACAACAACAAAGTATATAAGAGCCTCATGACAGGGATTAACTCTCACATCTCAATAATCAGCCTGAATTTTGTGAATGGATTAAACCATTGAAGAGGCATAGAATGAAAAACTGGATAAAGAAACATGATGCATCAATATATTGTCTTCAGAAGACGCATCTCACCAGAAGGGGCACTCACAAACTCAAAGTTAGAGGATGGAAAACAAATTTTCAGGCGAACAGAACATAAAAGAAAGCAGGAGCTGCAATCTTAATATCGGGCAAAATAGTCTTTAAGCTATCAAAAATTTAAAAATAAACAGAAGGGCACTACATAATGATAAAAGGTTCCATTTATCAACAAGAAATTTTCATCCTAAAAACATATACGCACCAAACATAGGAGCACCAGCTGTTCTAAAGAAGCTACTAAGCAAACTTAAAAAAGATACTGACTCTAACACTATCATAGCTGAGTACTTTAATACCACACTATCAACCCTAGATAGATCATCAAAGCAAAAAATCAATCGAGAGATATGGACCCTCAACCTGATGCTTGACCAAATGGACCTAATAGATACCTACAGAACACTCCACCCAACAACCACAGATTATACATTGTACTCATCACCTACAGAACATACTCCAAGATCAACCACATCCTCGACCATAAATCAAGTATAAACAACTTTCATAAGATCGAAATGCTGTCACACACCTTCTCAGACGACAGTGGAATAAAATAAGTATCAACACCAGCAAGGTTCCCTCAAAACCACAAAGACATGGACACTAAACAGCCTGATGCTGAACAACAACTGGATCAACATGGAAGTCAAAGAAGAAATTCCTTATGGGGGGATGAAGGAGAATTAGAATCCTTCCCAAGATTTTAATTTTTAAGGAAGAAAATCCCTTATGGGGGGAGGAAGGAAATGAAAGGGGAAATTTTGAAAAGGAAATAAACAACTACAGTGAGCCAGGAATTGAACAATGGTAGATGAGGGATATGAATTAAGCTCATTGGTGCTATACAGTTGCAAGCATCTCTGAGTTTTTCTCAAAACAAAGTAGTTAAAATCTGTTCCAGGATAACAATTTATACCATATGACTCCTGAATATTTAATTACATCATGTGCTGAAAACATAGTAGGCTCTTAAAATTGGTCAATTTTTATCCCTAAAATTGGAAATTTAACACAATCATGCAGAACAATTTAAATGCGGGGGGGGGGACGTTACTGTAATTCTATAAATTAGTATGTCATAAATATGTATTTTAAAGAAAGTTCACCACAGTATTAAAAACTCTTTTCTTCACATTAAAAAAATAAGCCAATTTTATCATAAAATATCCTCCATAATAACTTTGCAGTAGAGTAAAAAAAAAATTCCTTGGCTTTGAGATTTGCAAGAACTAAATCCCAGGAGACTTCTTTGTAATGATGGGTGCCAGGGAAAACCAAGGATGAGGAATTGGACATCCCCCTGGCAAGAATATAATCGATACTGCTAACAAAGGCTATGAAGTATAAACTAAAGCCATCTATATAGAATAGATGTGCCCTAGCCTCCATCTTTCTAAATAGGCTTATTACTTATTCATTTTTGCCATTTAAACCACCTTAACTGCTGATTATGTCTTGTATACAAAATAATAATAATAATAAACTACCAGAAGTCAGGAACTACCTTTGAATTTCCCCGGAAGAGTTATGCAGAGAGAACTAACTGAAGAATGGAGGCAACCCAAAATTGATGGAGCTATTCAACTCTTCCTGAAGAAGACCCTCAGAACCTACCAGACTCACTACGAAGGCCAGCAGTATACCTTCCAAGATGCCTTACATCTTCTTCTGCCCAGTGTTCCCCTCTCCATTCTAGCAACCACGCACTACTCTTCCCACCCTCCCCACTCTCCCACCTCTATGTAGTCTGTCTGGCAAGCATTCACCCTTCCTCCAAACAGCTGAGTACCATCTCAAACAGGAAGCCTGTCCTGTTTATCCGCTTCCTCCAGAGTTAACACACCCTTCCTCTGTCCTAACTGTGTACCTTATACTTGCTTCAACTCTTCGATTTAGCACATATATCATAACTTGTTACATGACTGTCTACTCTTCAGGACCATGCATGAATTCCTTGGTTACATAGATTGGCCTTCTTTTTGGATCTCCAGTACCCAAAACAGTGCCAAGCTCACAGCAGCCTCGCAAACATTTACTGACTCCACGAATACCTGAAGCAAGAAAAGTCAGCCACCAGACATCAGATTGAATCCCTAATCTACCTGCAAAAATCCACTGACTGCTATAGTCAACTCCCAGTTTTCCTTCTTGGGGTTTACACACAAGATAGACAAGCTACTAAAGATTTTTGATTTTAAAGATAAGCAGCTGATAGAATTCATTACAGAAAAGAAATAGTTTAAACTAACACAGGATGCCAAATACAAGGAAGAGTCATCCACTGGGAAAGTAATTCATGAAACTGAGTCTCCAAGACTCTCTTTCCTACAGTACTTTGTACCAAAATAAACAACTGACTGAAGGATGCAAGCCTGAAAGGCAGGTATATAAGCTGAACGACCTTTCAAGATCCTTTTCAACCCTACAATCCTCTCAACTGCAGAAATGCAAGGGAACTAGCTTCATTCCGGGGATAGTGAGCACCGGTCTGGATGCACTGGCCTGGCTAGCCAAGTCTCACCGCGACAGATGAAACAGAAAATAAAATACAAATGTAATCATGCCTGTAGTAGGCAGAATAATGCTGTCCACTCTAATCCACAGAACTTGCAAATATGCTACCTGACATGCAAAGGGGACTAAATTAGGGTTTTTGAGATGAGGATATTATCCTGGATTATCAAGTGAGCCCAATTTAATCACAAGGCCCTTAAAAGAGGGAGGCAAGAAGGTCAGAGTCATAAAGGGAGATGTGAAAGCAAAGCGAAAGATCAGAGACAGAAAAAGGGAAGAGTGAGGGACGGAATGAGAGGGAGGGAGGGAGCTGAGAGAGAGGAGGAAGGGAGGGTGGAAAAGAGACTACACTGCCAGCTTTGAAATCGGAGGAAAGAATCATGAATCAAGGAATGCAGGCCCCCTCCCGAAGCTGGAAAACACAAGTACAGGAACCCCCCACCAAGCTTCTGGAAAGAACTCAACCCTGCTGACTCCTTGATTTTTAGCCTAGTAAGACTGTCCAGGCTACAAGATAAGCAGTTTAAAGTTTTGGGCCGCTACATTTGTAATTTATCGCAACAGCAGCAGGAAGCTAGTACAATGCCTAAAGAATCTCTCCATAGCCAGCATCAAACAGTGATCAATACTCACTGCTACGGTTTGAAGATATTCCCCAAAGTTCACGTCGGAAACCTACCCCCCAAGTTTACATGTTCAGTGGAGGGGGGGCCTTTGGGAGATTCATCAGGGTGGGGCCTCCATGACGGGACTGGCGGCTTTTTAAGGAAAGGAAGAGACCTTCATTGGCAGGCTTGTTCGGTCTTACCACGTGATGCCTCCCACCCTGTCACGAGTCCCCACAAGCGCCCTCAGCAGGTGCCTGCGCCCTGCTCTGGGACTGGCCAGCCTCCAGAACTACAGGCTTCATAATCCCTCTTCTTTATAACTTGCCCAGTCTGTGGTATTTGGCTGTAGCAACAACAACAAAAAAGACGAAGACACTCACCTTCTAAGAGGGAATTGTCCCGAACAGCTTCTGCAGCTAACACAGACTTCCCACAGCCTGCCATTCCATATATGGTGACCCACCCTGGTTCACCATTCAATTTGAAGAGCTTCTGCTGAATTGCACTCACTAGCTTCTTCCTCGTCACAAAAACAACTGGCCTCTGCGGTACTCCACCTTCACACAAGACTGTTCTTACTGAAATCCAAAACAAAACAAGCATGAATGAACAGAACTTTAAATTGGTTCCTCAAGTAATACCATAAAACAGAAGAGTACAAGGCTGAATGAGGCCTTAGTCTCAGAGTTTCCAAGAGAAGAAGATGTAGCTAGTAAATTACAACAAACTTTCTGATTTCTCAGAACACAGGGAGCAAAAGCAAACATATACCCTTCAAGATGATTATAAACAATGGAAGTCTCCATCTATATATGACCTTACTCACCCTATCACTCCCTGACTCTCCAGTCTCTTTCTCATATTGTAGACTGGGAAGGAGTGTATAAAGGAAAAAATGTTGATGCAATTCCTTTTAAGAGCATATACTTCTAAAGATGTATATTCTTTCTTATAAACTTTATAAACACATGGAACTGGAAAAAAAACCTAAATAAGGGCCTGTAAATTTTCTTCTTTCTTTCTTTAACAATTAGAGGATAGGCAACATTATCAGCAGTAAACAGTTCACTGGGCAAGATGAAAATGTGAAATTTAACATGGATCCAAATATGAGATATTTAAGTTGAAAATATCACTACAATTTTTTTTCACATGCATTTTTCGGTGAAATGATCACTCTCTCTTCAGAAGATTATATCTACAATAAGACAAATCCGCAGCAATGTACCCATTGTGATTGCAATGTGATAGCAGGTATCATGGACACAAACCATATGAGGCTATTGCAACTGAATCTTTGCCACTGGAGGAGCAGACATCAGGAATGCCATCCTGGAGCAGAGCAGCAAGATCTTTATATCCTTCATGTAGTAGAGCATAGTAGAAGGATTTGTAGGAAGAGTTATCTTTTTTAAGTATCATTTTAATTAGCATAGCTGCTCGTTGGTGAGTAGGCTTAAAAAAAAAAAAAAAAAGCAGTTTAGTATACAACAATGAATATGTTTGCGACATACAATTAGTAGAGACCAGTGAAAGTTCTGAAATTCCAAAATGTTTAAGAAAACACAGACTGCCCCAGAGGGCTTTACCTCATTTTTTACTTTTTCCTCCTCCAATATTGTTAAAACTCCATCACTAATCATGTGATCCATGATATAGGATGTCTTGATGTCCTTTTCCAGAGCTTCTCTATGCTGAAGCAAACAATTTCGAGCTTTTGTGTCCATTCTCCCTCAAATTTTTCTCTCAGTAAGCTGTCAACCATGAGCTACAGGCAAAACAACACAATATCTGTCAGGCCAATAAACATATGAAAATATGTGCAACCTCACTGGTAATCAAGAAATGTAAAGAAAACAAGACTGATATTTTTTCTGCAAAGATATTTTATTTTTTGTTCTCCACCAAGAGAATCAGAGCAAAGATTTTTTTTAATGGACAAACCCAATGCTTTGAAAGATACAAGAGAGAAAATGGGCATTCTTATACACTACTTGGGGAGGGTACAAAACGGATCCAACTTTTCTGGAAGACAGAATAAGACACAGAAGAGTTTAAAAGAAGCAATCTCACCAGGCATGGTGGCTCACGTCTGTAATCCTAGCACTTTGGGAGGAGAAAGAGAGAGGTTTGCCTGAGCTCTGGGGTTCGAGACCAGCCTGGGCAATTTGATGAGCTTTGTCTCTACAATTAAAAAAAAAAAAACCAGCCAGGCATGGTGGTGCGTGTCTGTAGTTCCAGCTACTTGGGAGGCTGAGGTGGAAGGATCACCTGAGCCCAACAGGCTGACACTGGGGTGGCCGTGAGCACGCCACTGTACTCCAGCCTTGGTGACAGAGTGAGACTCTGACTCAAAAAAAAAGCATTGAGCCAGGCTCAGTGGTTCAGCCTGTAATCCCACGCCTTTGGGAGGCTGAGGTGAGTGGATTGCCTGAGCCCGCAGGTTCGAGACCCGCCTGGGCAGTGAGACCTCACCTCTACAATGAATCAAAAAATCAGCCAGGCATGGTAGCGCATGCCTGTAATTCCGGGTACTCGGAAGGCTGAGGCGGAAGGATCACCGGAGCCCAGCAGGTCGAGGCTGCGGTGGCCGGGAGCGGCCACTGCACTCCAGTCTGGGCGACAGAGTGAGACTACAACTCAAAAAAAAAAAAAAAGCACTGGCTGAGCTCAGTGGCTCAGCCTGTAATCCCAGCACCTTGGGAGGCCAAGGCGAGTGGACTGCCTGAGCCCAAAGGTTCAAGACCAACCTGGGCAACTTGGCAAGAGCTGTCTCTACAATAAAATAAAAAATTAGCCAGGTGTGGTAGCGCACACCTATAGTTCCGGCTACTTGGAAGGCTGAGGCGGAAGGAATGTAGCGCCTAGCAGGTTGACGCTGGGGTGGCCGTGAGCATGCATGCCGCTGCACTCCAGCCTGGGCGAGAGTGAGACTCCAACTCAAAAAAAAAGCATTCTCTTTAACCCAGAAATCTCACTTCCAAGAACTTACCTCAAGGAGACAATCAAATACGTATGCAAAAATATCTACAAAGAGAGTCAATGGAGGGCGTTTGGGTGAGAAAAAGAAATGAATACAATCTAAGTGTCCATCATTCTGAATATTAGGGTTTATGTAAAATGAAGTCATAGGCAGCCTTTTCAAATTATAAAATACATATTTTTTGTGTACTGACAAGGAAAGATGTTCGTGACACATTACTGACTAAAGAAACAGAAACATGAGCCCATATATAACATGAAGCACGTGTTGGCATTGCATAAATATAAGTACAGGGAGATTTCTAGAAGTTTATTCATCAAAATGTTTGACTCTCTCTACCAATAAATTGGAGAAGGAAAAAAAGTCTAAAAAAAATTTAGAAAATGCTTGGATTACTTTTGAGTAGCAAGACAGGATCTTCCCCCTTTCTTGTACTTTTCTATATTGCCTTACATTTTTAATATATTATCTTTTGTTTTGTTTTTTGGGTTTTTTTGCTTTGAGTTGGAGTCTCTCTCTGTCGCCCAGACTGGAGTGCAGTGGCCACTCCTGGCCACTGCAGCCTCGACCTGCTGGGCTCCAGCCATCCTTCCGCCTCAGCCTTCCAAGTAGCTGGAACTATAGGCGCGTGCTACCACGCCCGGTTGATTTTTGATTTATTGTAGAGATGAGGTCTCGCCAAGTTGCCCAGGCGGGTCTCGAACCCACCGGCTCACGCAATTCATTCCCCTCGGCCTCCCAAAGCGCGGGATTACAGGTTGAGCCACCGAGCCCAGCCAATATATTACCTTTGACATCAATACTTAATTGACAATACATATCTTTTTTTACATTAATACTTCCTTTTTAAAATTAAGATTTTATAAAATAGGCCGGGCTCGGTGGCTCCGCCTGTCATCCCCGCACTTTGTGAGGCCGAAGAGAATGGACTGCCTGAGCCCACGGGTTCAAGATCAGCCCGGGCAACTTGACAAGACCTCATCTCTATAATTCAATCAAAAATTCCCTGGGCATGGTAGCGCACGCCTGTAGTTCCGGGCACTTGGAAGGCTGAGGCGGAAGGATCGCGGGGGCCCAGCAGGGCGAGGCTGCGGTGGCCAGGGCGAGGTGATGCACACCTGTGATCCCAGGACTCTGGGAGACCGAGGCAGAGGATCGCTTGGGTCCGAGAGTTCAAGGCTGTAGTGAGCTGTAACCACACCACCGCACTCCAGCCAGGGTGACAGCGTGCGACCCTGTCTCTTAAAAAAAAAGAGAGAGAGATTTTATAAAACAGCTACCATACCGAAGTCCTAACGTTTAGAAGCCTCTTATTGCCCTTCCCCAACATAAGCCTGAACAGAGCGCTGCTGGTGCTGCCAGTTCTCGCTCAGGGTGACGGTCACTGGGTCTTCCCCGGCAGACCCACGTCTCGCTAACCAACAGGAGACACTCTCTGATGTCACTTCTTGGACTGACAGGACACAAAGAAGGAAGCCCTCAGAGGAAAACAAAGCTTCTAGCAACGTTGTCGCCCAGAACACCCACCTTCCCCGGGCACAAAGCCCCGTTCGGGCGCCCGCCCACGTCTGAAACACCCGCCGGCCTCTGCGCCCGACTGCCCGACGCAGCGCCAGCGGGTCCGTCAGTTCGCGCGCTCGCGGCGCAGAGAGGCCCGGAGAAGAC